CGAATTGCTACTCTCACACCAGTGCTACATCCCCTTTGAAAGACGCAAATAACCTCACCGGCTCTGATTTTTAAGCAAGTACTGAAAAAATTTTGCTGAAAGGGACAGCGGAACAAAGGAAACAGGATTCAAATTTGAATCAGCTTTAATCATTTCAAATAAACACCATGTAAATAAAATGTACCCTGTTTGCTGGCAGGCTTGATGGCTTACAATGTACTCGCCCCACCCAAATCAAGGACTTGAAATGGAGCAGCAGTGGAACAGAAACCCCTGTCATCCTCAGGGATAGGAAAAGCATCATTAGGGTTTAACTGGAGTTTGATGAAAACACGGAGCACCTCGAGGATCAATTTTCACCACAGGCAGCTGCAGCACGAGGCATTAATACTTCACCCTCGCTGGTGACAGGAGAAACGCAGGGAGCTGTAGGCACAAATAACATTAGGTTTCTAGTGTGTATTTTGCTTTTCATGCCTGCAATTAAACGTTTGCTTTACTTCCTGTTGTTTAAAACTGCATTTATTCTTTAGCGCTGCAAGAAAAACCTCCTGTATTTTTTTTAATTTGTACTGGGGCCACGTTTGAAGGCCCATATTGTAGACTCAGCAAGTGGCAGGGTAGCCGCCAAACCTTGCTTCCTTTGTTGATTTCTTGATGATTTAAGACCTATTTTCAGCAACCGATACTGGTTTTCCCCCCTTGCCTTTTTGCTTGGTAACTACCACTTTAATAAAATGGTGTTTGTGCAGTGCCTTGGAACCAAGAACTGAGGTTTTAAATGTAAGATAGGGAACAGAATAAGAAAAGCAGGTCAAAAATCACCTACACGCCATGTTTTTCAAGGCATTTGCTTAGAAATATACAGCAGAACCCTTGAGTTCTTGCAGAATAAGACTTAAATTGCTAGATTTTAATTTCCTACATAGCTAAAATTACTTGCAAGTTTCTGATATTTGTGTTGTTCACCTTCCCCCAGCACAAAGTTTTAAATCATTGTCTGAATCTACAAAAATCGATAGATTAAAATACTAAAAAACCCCTGCACTGTTGACAGATATTATTCAGATTTTTACTGACTTTCCCTGTAGGGGCAAACCCTATTGATGGAAAGCATAAACAGGAAAAGATAGTGCCTGATCAATGGTTTATTTAGGTGTAGACTTCCTTCAGAAAAGGACAATACACTTTGCCCCTCCTAATTTGCTAGCATGCAAATTAAATGAAGATTTGGTGCAAAAAATGTATCCAGTACCCTCAGCATGATTATTCTCTCTGCTCTGGTAACAACTGAGCCTTTCCTCAGAATTCTTCTGTTGTGGAAAATACACCACCTGGCTTAATAAGTAAAAAAGAGTTTCTACTTATTTTTACAGCAAATAATTCTACATTTAATATAGGCCCATAGATGTTGGCATACACCTTGTTGCCTTGTTAAAATAAAAACCTCGAACTTACTAAAAATAGCAGTAACTAGTAAGGATAAACCCAGAACAGTACAGACACCTGAAAACAAAAGTGAAAAGGAGATGACTTAAGGGATTTTCAGTAACATTCAAGAAGCAAGTGTAACTCTTAGGCTTAATGAGTGTTACAATACATCAATTACAGAGACATAAGTAATTTAAAGGGAAGAGTGTTCACTGGCAGTCAGTTTGGTCACAGATTTCATTTGCTTCACAGGGCAGGGAGAGCACCCTGTAATTAACAGTCATGGTCAGAAGCTGTGTCCAAAGCTTGTTACCTCCTTGCAGCACACCTTTCTCACAAAGCTGGAAAGGTGAGAAACTCCCCTTCTCCACTGTCAGAGGACTCAACACTTCATCTCCATGCACAGACATGGTATTAGAAATGTACTTCAGATCTGCAGTGGTGATCCACATGTGCTACTACAGGTTTCCACTGCCTGCTGCTTCTCTGATTAAGGGTACTGACATAGAAGGATGTTTAAGCAGCAGTACTCACTGCTCAAACATGTTTTTGACCTCTGCTAAACCCTCAGCCTTGTATTAGGGGGCACTGCTCAATGGAGAGTACTCAAGATTGAATCCTCTCTTTCCTAGGTAAGAAGTCTCCATGTAAAACCACCTGAAGTAAGACTTAAAATGCTGCGCTTCAGTGCTAAATCTCATCCACTGACTGATTCACCAAAAATGCTTATTGCCACAGGCACCAGATAGGATGAGAGAAAGGAAACATACAGAGAAACATCCCTAGGAATGGTTTAAAAATATACAGGAGATCTGTGCTAATTCTAGCAATGATTTCTTCTCACAAACTGACTCAAGTCTACTCTCTGTATGAAGGGAGGATGTTCAAGCACAGTGATGATACCAAAACCTGCTGATTCAGCAAATGAGACATGCTGACCAACAAAGCAATGGCCAGCACAATGGAAAGATCAATGAAGGCCAAACGACATATGATATATTTTACTTTTATTTATTCTTCCAGCTGTTTGTCCACTCTTTCCAGCAAGTTCACAAGAAGGCTGACTTTAAATCCATAAGATTTGGTATTACTTCTAGCACAGTAGAATATGTATGCAGATGAATAAAGGCTTGACAGCACATTTGCAGTCTAAGGACCTTTGGAAAATTGTGCATTAATAGGGCTTAGTAACTACAGTCTTACTGCATTTCTTTCAGTCAGAACTATGACAGAGTTGAGTTTAGGCTTTCTGATATGTTTGTAACATTGCTATTTTTCGCCTTTATGTCTTGTGATTCTCATAAACCAAGGAAAATAGCCTAGATCTGACTGCTCCTTTTAACTGCGATATATGCAGTTATATCACATAAGTGCTGAAAGTCTCTGTGCCATTAAACTGGCCACAATGGATATTATAATAAAACAGGAGACAACAGAAATAATTCCAACTTACTACATCCCAACTAGATCCCAACATCCTACCTTAAATGCCTTCAATGGATACTTGATTTGATATAAAATTATTCAAACTAACTCTCTTTTCTGGTGTAGTATTTATATGGTAATCCTCCTTCTGGAAGGAAGCTTTCACTCATTTCAGTGTCTTTCCTTCCAATATCCCATTTGCAATGCTAACACCCCCAATACTTCTTCTGAGAACTATAAGGAAGGGATCATAAAATACTGTGCAGGTCAGAGAAAATGTTCATTAAGTGTAACAAAAATGCCTTTTCTTTAATTTAAAATTTGATAGGCTTGCAAACTTTATCTTAAACACAAACAGTACAGTGTCACATGTTTTCTATCTTTTTCTACCAGTTGTAGCATGACACAAAATGAGACTGAAACTACTGGTTTGTTTCCACGCATGTTACTGGAAAGCTGATGAAACTGTAGAATTCAACACAAGGAATTGCTGGTTTAGGCTTTTTGTACCTTCAAAGTATTTTCTTACATGGCTTCTAAAACTCTTAGTCTTTTAATAATAAAACAGTTCTTTGTCCAAAATTACTGGGACTGAGGTGAAGGATGCATTTTTGGTTGAAAATAAATCTTAATTATGAAGAGTGGATCTCTTTCCAAAATGTTTTGCAACTGCTAGCCTTTGAATCATGGTAATTTCTGAAAAAGTAAAAAAAATAAATAGTGGTGCCACCTGTATAATTGAGGAGGATCACCCAAGTGATTGGGAGAGATTTAAGGCCTGGAGGGACTTGTATGGGGCCTGAAAGACTTAATAATTCATGGACTTTCACGTTATTCCCCAGTTTATTGCCATGTTCAATGTACCCCCACAATTATTCCTTTGTTAATCCCCTTGGTTTGTACTGTTCAGGGATTGTCTGGACTTGCCCTCACGTTTTTCCCACCAGAAGTTGTTTACTCCCTTGTTCTCCCCTGGTTTTCCCGCTCATCTCTCACTGACTGGCTGACGGGTGCCGCAGTGCAGAGTGAGCTCCCATTGGTCCCCTACCCTGGATACTCCTAAAGTTCCACCCATCTTCTCCGTGTTCCCCAATCCTGCTCTCCCCTGAGGTGTCAATCCCATGCTCCACCCCAGTTATCAGACCTCCCCTTACCCAAACCCTATATAAGTCCTTGTTCCCCTCAATAAACTGGCCATCGCACCCTGACCTTATACTGTGTCAGAACCCTTTGCGCGGTGTCGCGTCCCTATTCCCTTCACCCTCGGGCCGTGGCAGACAATCAGGTATATAAGTACACACTGTGTTCATGGGGCAATCACTACAATGCTGAATCAAACACAAGGTTATAAAATGTAAGATTCCAGGAATGTACTGATGCAACTTGAAGGCTTGGTTTTTACCTTTTAAAGATGGCTAGAGATCGTTCTTATCAGATTTTGAACACTATGAGAACATATGTTTTTCATTAGCCATTCTCCTTCTCCCACCTCATTCACAAGGTTGGCTTATTCTTAAATACATGGTTTTGGCTTTTACCTGAAGAAATGCAAATGTGAGATCACCCCAGTGCACTAAACAATGCTTGATCCCAGTCACTTAAGGTTATTCAGATATGGTTTTGCTATTCACATAAAATCATTACCTTCCACATCTGCTCTAAGGTTTGGTTTGCATGCAGAAGCCTCATGCAATGTCTCCACAGAGGGAATTCAGGCTCAGACCTTTGGAGCTGTTGGCAGTCCTCAAACAATGCACTGAAAATCACAAAGGGATGGGTCACAGGACAGAATATGCCCCCTCCTCTGTGGAGTTACAATAAGGCTTCTGATGTCGTTTGCAGCTAAATTTCCAGCCAAGAACTTCAGTATTAAACATAAATTAAATTTTGCCCATAAACTAGCTAAAAATACCTGTAGTTTCTAGAGGCAAATTTGCATAATTCTTAAGTATCAAGCTTCACTGCTCAAAATCCATCTGCATTTCCTAGGTGGACATAAACCCTCAAAAGCACTATTTTTCATGTAATAAACAAGTTGCAGAAAGGGTAGAAGAATACTGCCAGTCAAGTAATTCGATAAGATTTCATTGCACGTGGTGGTACAGTGAATAATTTAAAATTAAATGTTTTCCAGTTCCACTGTATCATCTGCATACTATTCATTTAGTTCCTTATATTTTGCAGAAGTAGGGCACATTTTCCAGATGCCATTTATAAGCAACAAACACTGTTCATTTTATTCCTTACTGGAAAGTACCCTGGTCTATTCACAAATTAATTTGGGAAGTGACATTGTGACAGTTAGCCCCAAATGGTGCTCCTGACACAAGCAGGAAAGAAAGGATGAGTAGGTGGGATTTTGTGTTTGGCATTTCAGAATTAGGGGAGGTAATGTTTCCAGTTATATACACATAAAATTATTTCTGAGAAGACATGCTGAACTTAAGCATTAAGCTAAATACCTATAGCCCTACATTATTTCATGTTATTTTCCAAGACATCATTCATTCCCTTGTTGAAAGCTTGCTTCTTAGCAGTATTTATCTTATTTGGAAAAATTACAGATCTATGAAAGAGTTTTATTTTGTTATACTGATTTATATAACTAGTTCCTTGCACATTGGTACTAAAGAAGTAGAACTTTTCTGTAATGGCAAGGGGAGTTCATTAGTAAAACACCAAAACTATACAACTGGAAATAAAAACAAAGCATAAAAGCACAGCATTTCACATAAGATGAGCTTTCAACAGAAATATTAAAAAAAAAAACCCAACCCTCAAACACCCTGCCATTTCAACTTCAGACCAACTGCAAAGGCACTAAGAATTGAAGTGTGCAACTCATGTCCATACCTGTGAGAGTAACGACCACAGTGAGACGCAAACCTCCAAGGTAGACTATGGCACTGTACAGTCCACTAGGCATTCCTGGTACATATGGCAGTTTTATGTTTTCTTAGGATAAGCTGAAAACATTAACTAAATATACAAACTACATCATATTTCCATGGTGAAAAAAAAATCCAATTTAGACCATCTGAAGACAAGGAAACAAGGCATAACATACAGGACTTTGTTAGAACAAGAAAGTGTTATCACATCAAAACACGCCCTTTTAAATTTAATCCAGAAGATACATAGGAATGGTGGTGGCAGAGGCAAAGGGACAGGACAAATATCAAATATCCAGTTCTAAGCATGCTACTGAGGTCTTTGTTTCAAAAAGTGAAGCTACCAAAATCACTTCAGAGGCAAGAAAGCACATATCAACAGTCCATCCCATTTCCAGGCATTCTTCTTGTGGGCTGACACTGAAGGATCTGTTCAGTATCGTTTCCATGCCTGAGGCTGCCTAAAGCTTCCCATTAGCAAATGCTGCCTCCTGGAACTGAGGGACAAATGTCTTGAAATAGGCCCTAGTGAAAAAAAACAACAACAGAAAACACATGATTAGGAAGGAGGAAACATAGAGCATGAATTGATGCAGTTGATGTGTGCCATGTTTCTGGGATAAAAAGGGTCTGGGGTTTTTTTTCTCCCCTATGTGGAAAAAACTTCACATATGGTAGCAAAGGCCCAAATACAGACAAGTCAATGGAGGAGGAAAATCATGAAGAGAAGTCAGAATATGTGCAGGAAATAAGCTCTTTATCTGTCTCCTTACAGAAACCTTGACACAATACCATCACTCTTCATGGGAGTGGTTTACATAAGATGTAGTAAATAAATATTAACAACTTTGGACAAACTGCAATTCCTTTTATTAAACTTCAAAGTTTATAGAATAATGTTCTTACTTAAGGTGTGCTTTGTATATTTTGGATCTTAGTCTACCTTCTTTACAAAGGATCGAGTGACTCATAAATCTGTAAAATGAGCTGATCCTAAGTATCCAAAATTGAGTTTGAACTGTATCTTTGAGTTTATTATGCTGAGGTACTCAACCATGTAATAAACATATTTTATATGTCCCAATGATACTGTTTATTTGCCAGTTACATTAGAAGCTGCTTCACTGTTCTGCATTTGGTTTCTGTCTATGGCTTTCTGCACCAAACTTTCACTTTCTTGTTTTTTTCTTTTTAAACATTTTATTTTCTGTTCATATCACTGGTCTGTATAAATTTCTGTTCTCCCCGCCAAAAAAAAAAATCTAAAGTGAGAATAGCTGCAATAACACTCATGACATTCTTGATCTCTCTGCTAGTTTAGCTCCTGAAGCAAACATACATCGATTAGCTTCACAATCATGACACGTTTCTAACTGCAGTAGAAGTTTTGGTGATCACTGAACACCAATCATACCTCCTCACATCTCAAAACATTTCAAGATCACAAAGAGAATGCTCCTCTCTCTTTGTGAGGTTGTGCCTGGCAAATTAATTAACAGAGAGCTGCAGTCAGCTTTTATGCAGAAGCTGTAAACACACAGGAGATGCTGTCCAAAGGTTAAAAGGGCAATGGAAAGTAAAAGCATTTCTGGACTGAGGAGATGATCTTAGAAATGGAAAACAGGAGGAGGACAACCAGCACACACATTTTATAGCATACACATATTGTGCTATGTATTTACAGAATACACTTTGGTTTATAGAATCAAAGTTCAGAAAACAACCCTCATAATCATGGCCACAAAAGTGATTGTTCATATTGGCGCATACTCGTACATAAACCAGCTCAGAAGGTATGCCTGTTCTATATTTGCGCTTTTATAGCATACCTTTCAGACTGTAGCCTCTCTATGTCCTGGTCAGTTCTATGTATTTTGCTATCTCAAGGAATATCACCCGCATGTTGTCAATGCCTGGAATTTATCATACTTTTACTTTTCCTTGCATTATCTGTCCTAACATTTAATTACACATCTCTGCTTGCTTATTTTAAGTACCTTCTGCCTTCCTTTTAGATAGCTTCTCTGCACATGATCTTATTGACTTGATAAATGCTACTTAAAACTTCCCTCTTCCAAAATTGTAAAAATTCTTAATCATTAAATGGTATATAAGCAGAATTATTTTCCTACATTCTATTTCTTTTCTTTTATAGCATTTCTGTGCTTTGTATTAAAACCACACTTACTGCATTATATGCAGTAATTATATATGACTTTGCTGTTAGGTAAATTCCAGAACGAATGCTTCTGATACCACAAACATCCTCCCACACCATCTTTATCTACACTTGCATCCTTTCTTTTCACTGACTCCTGCAGCAGAGCTTGTATCCTCTGCTGCAAAACAAAATCTAACACCTCCCTACATTCTGATCAGATGTACTGTTTCAAAGAGGATGTTATTTCACTGGTAGTTCATATGAACCTCTTGGTGAAGTTCCATACACTACAAAAATTCCTTTAATAGTTCATAATTTTTAAATGTCTACTTTTTTCCTTCCATACCTTAAAGTATATGCTTTAGTTTGCCCTTATCATTTGCGGTCTTGTCCAGATTGAAACAAATGCAGTACCACACGTTTACCTGGGATGTGTTCCTCCATTTCTGCCCCTCTCCCATACACCATAGGTATCTCAGATTAGGCAAAATCTGAGATAATTATGGTTCATCACATACGCATGCAAAAATAAATTAAAACACCCACCCCCCTCACCAAACCAAAACAAGAAAGACCCTGCAAAGAAATCCAAAAGCACAATATACTTGATAGACTGTAGCAGCTACAGTATATTTAATAGACTGAACGGAAAAGATGGGGAACTAGGAGAAGGGAGGTTAAACTGCTCAATGAACACTGCATATAGGGAGGGAATGGCAACTGTTAGTACATGAAAGTAATATCACTTATTTTGCATGTGTATGAAGGAGTTGAATGGGCAGCAAAGACATAACTTGTTATTAGAGGTTGCTGGATTTTTTTTTTTTTTAATTACATGGCTTTTCCAATGAAAAATTATGTTTTTACCCACTGTGTGCATTTCTGTGGAAATGCTACTGAGATTCCATCAGGAAAAGAATGAGGTATTTCAGTTTGGCTTGATCTAGAAAGATATTCTGGTTTGTAGAACTAAGCCTAAACAATTGGCTTGATATTAACCTTCATATCTGTGGTCCAACATCTCAGAGATGATGTATGTTGGCCCACAGACAAGGCCCTGGTGCATCACAAGAGTCCTAAGCACAAAAACAACAGCAGAAGAAGTCCCATCAAAGAACCCAGTCCATGAAGAATGATGAGATAAATCATTAAAATTTCTTCTTTCAGGAGGCATTGTGCTACTGCTAGCAGGTGCATTATAGTGTCACATTAACTGCATTTTTGTTTTCATATGTTCCAAGTAAAATTTTTTCTAAACTTTTTCTTTTCACCAAAAGTTTGGGACAAAACCATATGTTAACATGCCTGAATTGTCCGTGAAATGAAAATTCCAACATTTTTTCTCCTCTGCATACATTACCAGTAAGGAGGAAGAGAAGCACCAATCACCTTCTGAGTAAGTTTCATTTATTGACCAACTGGCATTGAAGTCAATGTATACATGGATATGTATACATTGTATACAGGACCACAACATGGACTATTTATGTGACAACAGATTACAGGAAATAACTTCAAGAGAAATACAAAATTTTTTGAAGGACAATACTCTGCTATAGACTGCATGGTAAGGGCCTCCTTCACATGGAATGCTATTCCTTTTAGAAAGATTTTAAATTAAGAGAAAACACTCATATTCCAGCATCCAGTACATAGAGACACAGAGGAACAGTGAATATAAACATGAACTTTGGAAAAAGATTAGTTTCTCATACCCTATAAACATATTCACATGAATTTACACCCTCAACAACTTTGATCTGTGCTACACCACAGGAATTCACATAAAAATATCTGAAATTTTTTTTTCAGACACTTTGCCACATGATACTTCAAAGTATCTCCAAACTATTTTGAAATTATTATTTTTACATCCAGTAAATATGCTTTTCAGCTCTGGAGAACTACTATTAAAAAAAAAATAAATCAGTAACTTGGGTACCTGTTGAATTACACTGAAGATGAAGAAAGCTAACTTGACCTATAGTCTCTCAAGACTGTGTCAAATGGCAGAAATCAGCTTTTGATCAATGCTTTTTCTCCTTTCTGGGAAACACAGAGTTCCTTCTTTCTCCTGCTTTCCTCTACTATATTCTTGGTGGGTCTGTATCACACTGACCTCACACTAACCTCAGAAGAACTGCATAAAATGCTCCTTCAAGTACAGAGAAATTCATTTGTATGAAGTCCACAAATAGTCTTTAGCAGAGTGTTGAGTACAATCAACACTCAAAGTAAAACACATGTTGAGTGTTGCATCCTTCTCACAATGGTTTAGATCTCAGCTTAAACATTGTTTAAAGAGTTTTCAGTCTAGAGTGGGTGCCAATCTTCATACACTTACAGGCACCTGTCTAACTCTTTGTTGAGCATCTTACCATAAGATTCCATTGTTTTTTGTCCATTTGTTTTTGTTCCCTCAAATGGTCATTTTCCAAGTTCAAGGTAGCAAGTTATGAGGTTTCTATGGAAATTTTTCTTCATCACTCCAGAAAACAACACATTTTGCTGTAGTTAACCACTATATATACTTGACTCAGTACACTGAATTTCAGGTGCTACGCTCAAGGACATCTGCTGAGAGTAAAGCACTTCTCTTTCCTTCACCTTATTATCCAGTGTAAAGAAAGTATTGCTATTATTCCAAGTGGTAAGCATCTAAAAGAATGTAGAATTGGCTCACCTGCTGTTTAAGTATTTTCTAGTGATATGAAACACTGACTGTGGTACAAGGTCTCCAGAAGCCCATACATGTCTAAATCAGTTTGCAGGGTGTCGGTTTGCAGCACTTAAAACATACTTGACTCAGAATTCACATGGTTTTATGAAATTTCATTCTAATTGTAATGGATTTTTTTCCAGGATCATTTAGTGCTGGGTTTTTTAAATGCAGTTGGTAGAAGATCTGCATTGACCATTTGATAATACCTTTTGCCTTCAGATAGCGGAAGGTACTCTTTTTGCTGAAAATCTGCAAAGATTTTAAATTATGCAGATGCGATCTCCCATCAAAAAACACTTCACATATATTTATGGTGAAAGCATTCTAACACTAACACGCTTTCTGCTATTGCTTTTGCTAGACTGCTGCTATAGTCAACAATACAATGGTTACTGCTCCTGGTGTAATAAAGTTAGAAGAGTTAGCTAGGTGTTTCTATTTCTCCTAAAATCTTCATGTGGTAAATTTGGAGCAGAACACCAAGATTCAATCTCTGTGAGGAAAAAAGCATACAAAATGCTATATCAGTGGGATTTCTGCTTTTTGTGTCTGGGACAAGGACAATCGTCATGGGGTTGAGGAATCATCTTCCCAAGTCATTCACAAAATAGATTCCCCTTAAACTCCTCGGTTCATGAGTGC